CTGAATAATTGAGGAATTCTGTCTATGGTGAGTGCTGATTTGGGACAAATGAGAGAACTATAGAGTTAAGATCATTGTTAAAATGGACAAATATTATTTTTTAGCATATTTTGCTGTTTCCTACCTGAGAGACTGAGTTTCTTCAGAGATATTTTGTTGGGAGCATGGCCAGTTTCATGTATTCTGTCTGTGATAGTGTGTGTCACATAAAATGGCAACATCGTAATTTTAAAAGGACCTGGAGTTGGAGTCTAAGATCACTGAAGAAGTCCATAGCATTTGGCACTATGTCTCTAGGATTGGAGGATTTGCTGAATAATCGGTGACCAACTTTGTGGCACATGCTGAGTTACTGGATCGCCTATTCAGTCCTTAAAAGTAAACTCAAACCTTATAACATACTCCTAATTTATAGATGTCAGGAGTGAAAGTGTACTTTTCATGCTACAATGTGGTGTGCAGATTTAAGAACATTAAAGCAGCAAGTGGTTGCCAAGTTCCAGAAGCCTAGTGCCTGGGCCACATTGACAGGTAACATCAAGGGTGACAGCCGAGCGCCTCTGGTTCTGGTCCCAAACGAATTCCCACATTCATAGGGTGGCTCGTGAAACCTGACTCAAGGCTATAAAAATTTCTTTCCATTTTGAGAAATCAATCCATAATGTTTGAAATGCTGAAATAGCAAAGCATCCCTGAAAAACATTTAAATTATATAATAATTATTCATGTTACAAAAATTACATACAATAGAAGTTATAAAGCGATAAGTAAAAACCCTTTCCCTCACTCCTGTGTTTTAACAGTTTCTTGAAGAACCTTCCATAATATCCATTTCCTTTTTCTTACTCATATTTTTATACTCCTTTTTAAAAATATTATTTTTGAAACGAATGTATGTTTTGAAACAATGTCATTTATGCACGATAATATATGTAGGACAACTTTCCACAGCTATGTGAGATGTAACCTGATTTTTTAAAACCAGCTTCTTTTTGACTATATAAGATGTAACAATATTTTTAACCAGCTTCCTTTTAACAGACGTTAGGATTTTTTTTCCAGATTTTTTCCTTCTTTTTTTTTTTTTTTTTTTGTATATTAATAGTACTGCTGTAGTATTGTTATAAATAGTCTCCCTGTACAAGTATTTTTGCTTGCATGTAAGAAGAAATCTGAAGGATCTAATCCTAGAACTCAATTTTCTGGGTCAAAAGCATGTGAGTTTTTTAATTTTGTTAGCTGTTGCCATTGTTCTTCAAAAATGTAGTACCAGTTTGCATCTCTCTGGTATATTTGAATGCCTGACCCCTCACACTCTTGATAATTATTGTCTGTCTATTAGCATCTCATTTTGATTTATATTTTCCAAGTTTTGAGTGAGTTTGAAGATATTTTCCAATGTTTACAGGTCATTTTTTATTTCTCAGTGAGTTGTCTGTAATCATTGCCCATTTTTCAATGGGTTGTCTTTTTCTAAACAATTTATAAAAACTGCATATTAATATTTGCTGCAAATATTTTCCATGGCTTATCATTGAATTTTTTTTATAATTGTTTATCTTTTTGGTTTGGCTTTTGCTTTCTAAAAATAAACCATGTTCTTTTTTTTTTTTTTTGGCTTCTAATTTATCTTCTGCTTTAAAATTTATTTGCAAAAACTTCACCCATGTTTTCTTTAAATATTTTTATACTTTCATGATTTAACTTTAAATGTGGTGTATCTGGAATTTATTTTGGCTTAAGGAATGAAGGTAGAGATCCAGGCTTACGTCTACCAGCTCTTGTCTCAACACTTTTTTAAGCAGTGTCTCTTCTTTTGTATAATGCTTAACTTGAAATTTCTGACTCATAAATGTATCGTTGTTATAGGACCATCACCATAAAACAAGATGGAGTTGAATTGAGAAAGCTGCTTGTATGCTTAGGATTCCCATAAAAGTTAAGAATACAACAAAACTACAAGGGACAAACAGTTTCTGTTTTTTAAAAAAAACATAGAATTCTTATGGTTTCTGCTTAGATTAGGAGATAAGAGGTATATGTATCAGAAGGGAGATCTTAGAATCTGTAAAGTGCTAGGAGCAAAAAGTAAACTTCTAAGAAGAGACCACAATGTTCAATAATTAGGTTGCAGGTTGACCCCTAGTGTAGTGTGAGGCATAACTCTTTCTGTAAAAAATTCAGTCTAAACTAAGAAAATGATTTTTATGATATTGTATTTTACAGGTTGGTTTTTAGCTCAGCGGTTCCTTTAACTCAAGCTCTTCCTGCTTAAGAATCACTCTCGCGAGATTGTCTTTTATATTAGATGTTCTTAGACAAATAGGCATTGTTTTATGGAAATTTAATTCTGATTTGTTGAAATTTATAATAAATTTACTGGAATTCTCTGATCTGATTAAATGGGAGACCTCAATGTAACATTCCTAGGGTGACAAATGGAGTTAAGTAATTAGTTTGACTTGAGACTGAGTATGAGTTACTTGCCTTAATAAGCTATAAAGCATGTCTTCTAAGTATCAAAATCTCATACATTATCATTTAAGGCCTTGACCAAAGAGGAGGGTAGTGAAAATTGTGGAATTCAAAGAACTAGTGTCACGGTATTTGTCGTTATTACTTTCTTAGGGTTGGATGGATTGGTTCACGGAAATGATAGGACTGTAGCTTGTGTAACAAAAATATACTGTGACTCAAGCAAAAATAGGGAAATGAAACTGTGGCTGTAGCATGGATGAAAGATCTGAGTTTTGGAAAAGCAAATGAAACCTCTCATCTACTTTTTAGTTTTTGCTAAAGAGTGGCAGCAAATGTGAGTTGAGAAGAGCTATGGGCTGAATGATAGGTTCTCTTTGTTGATGCAGGACCAATTTGGGATTTATAGATGAGTGAATGTTTAAGGCTTACAGTAGAAAAAGTACATCTATCAGTTATGTATTTTCTTTAATTTATTACAACTGAAAACAACAGGGATCTGTGACATCCGTAGTAAAGGAGGTAGAATTGACTATTTACAAGACCAGCATACAGTTTTCCTTGATTAAAATTTGAATGCATCAAAATATAAAATTTACAGAGTTATCTTATGAACATTAGTGGGAAACGAATTCTCAAAGCCTATTGATTTTGTTTTTAATCTTTTCTCTTGAGGCAAACCATAACCTAAAACCTAGATATGACCCAAAACAGTGTTCTTTTTTAGGCTAAATATTTAAACTTAAATTATAATTTATTACTATAAATAGTTCTGAGACCCATAAATTTCAGAGTCAAACCGTTTAGCTTTGTAACATTATCTAGATACTACATTTAGTTGGATTTCACATGAAAAATTATGGAAGATAAGCTAACTCGGAAATGTATTTACTCTCTATTTAAGGTGAACATAGAGCTTAAACTGAGTCACATGCCTGTATTTTGATGTCTTTTGGTAATGTTCCATATTCCCACAAAATTAAAGAATTTCACTGGTGTACATAGAACCAACCAGTGAAGAAACGCAAAACATCCATCAGTAACGTTAGTATAGCCTAGAGTCATGATTTATTAAATCTAATTAATTTAATAGTTATATATGAATGGTATAAAAATTCATAAGACATTTGTTTTTGTTACATTATAATTAGGGCCAATTTTTAAGTGTAACTTTTGAGCAAAGTTTCTGAATTTTATAGTTTCAATTGAATGAAGTACTCTTAAGTGATTTTTTTGAAGGTGTTTGGCTGATTTAACCTTACAAAATAGTCTGAGACATTTATATTTGGGGTTAAAACTACCATTGCTCTCCAAATGAAGGAGAATTGGTTTTTAGGATCATCATAGGATTTTCAAAACATAAGCTTCACACTAAACAGACCAAATGATGACTGGAGGTCGGTCGCTTGCAGCATAAGATTTAGGTTTCTCAGTGGATTTTGTTTTAAATCCTAGTCTTATTTCATTGTCGTTTAATATATACTGCCTTCCTTCCTCTCATGGAAACATAGTAGCCCTTATTTTCCGTTTCGTCAGCATCATAGCTCAGACTTGGGACCAAGAATTTGGAAATAGAAGGCTGGGGCTTCACTTGCTGAGATTCAGAACCCCTCTTTCATAGTCAGCATTTGACTTCCAGCGCTTAGAAACATTCAGTATTTGTCGAATGAGAGAATGCCTTACTTTGATTGTAGGAACAGGTTAGTCATATACTACTAGCATTGCTGTTGGAACTAGGAATTCCAAATATAAAAATATAATTCTCTGGCTAAACCATTGTTCTGGTTCAGTATTACACTTTCTTTTCTTGGCTCGTTTTGTATGCATAAAGTTGCTGTCTAACGTCATTAGCTTCATTACTAATGTTGTTATATTTAACTCTAAAAAGAATGAACATTTTATAATCTCAGAACGTGACTAAAATACTATTCTAGCTTTGTAGAACCACCTTGGAATTAAGTTGTCGTTGTTAAACCCAGCAGCCGATGGGATGAGAAGAGAGCACCCTTCCATTCTAAATAGGGTTGTGATGCCCTGGATAGAAATATGTACATTTTCATCTTTCTGTGATAAAAATGGCTTCTAGTAGTTTATATTGTAGTGTCATGTTAGAGATTTCATTCCATGGTCATTTGTTCATTCACATGTATTTTTATTTTTAGCTCTAAGCGAAAGACATGAGGCCTAAGACTGACAATGAGGTTGTTTTGAGGCCATCTGATTTCTGACTAGAAGGTGTGCGATCGCCTCGTCCTGAAACCACTTCAGACACAATGGTAATGGCAAAACCTAAGAGAAAGAGAGGCCTTCATGTTTTTCCATGCCTGTTCTCCTACCCCAATTCTTTCCTTTTTTAAGTTTAAAAAAATTTTTTTAAGTTGTGAACAAAAGGTATTAAACAACATGCCGACATGTAAAACATGTCCTGACTAAACTGGTTCAAATGTTTAACAAAAGGACTAATTGTATATATACACCTGCATATTAATTAATAAACCTTTTAGAGTTGTTTAAACATGCTTTTTTAAAAAGTGAGCTCTACTGAGCTACTTAACAAGCAACAAAATGTTTATATGAAAACACCTGAGCCATTTGGAATTTGCAGATTGAAATCCTTTTCTTCCTTTGAAATCCAGTAGGGTTTGCTCTTTAAAAGGGGCTCTAAATTTAATAAATTTTTCAGACTAGAAAGTAAGGATTCTTGCCACAAATTTCTTTTTCTGTCATGAAGAATTTTGATGTTTTATGTATGTGTGGGTGTGTTTTATTTTTAAAGTGTAAAGTGCTTGTTAAGAATGTTAGTTGTATCAGTTAACTCTGCTTTAATTATCAACTGCATCTTAGTTCAAAATATATTTAGCAGTTGAAGGTAATAGCACTTTTTTTCATTATAGTGAAACTTTTTGGGGGGAGTGGGGTAGGGACTTCTCTTTATTAAGTTTATTCCATGGACCATGTTCTGTTAAACATGTTAATGTAGCCATGCTCACAAGGCTTAATTTCCCTGGAATAGAATTTCTTATAGGTCCTTTGCCCAAGTTCAGATTTTATACTAACCTGTGTTTTAGAATAAGTAGTTTTTTATGTTATTTCATTCCTGTACTACATGTAACAGTGTTAATAGCAAAAATAATTTCACAAATTGACTTATATTTAGCCTCAATTATCTATTTGTTTAATTGATGAGATGCTAAGAAAATATAATCATCCTATTCTAGAGGATAATACACAGGGCAAATTTTAAGGAAGTGGCAACATTACTATGTATTTTTTAAGTAAGGCTTATTTTTGTTTTCTTCTAGAGGCTCAGTTGTCTCTATAGTTCTGTACATGACCTCATTTCTCTCCAAACAGTATTTTCTTACAAACAGTATTACAAATAGTATTTTACAAACAGTATTTTCTCAAATGTTGAGAGTGACTTAAAATTTATAAAATTTTTTTTATTAGAGTATGTGGCTTTCTGCGATGACAGACTTATTCACATATGTGAATCTAGGCACTGTTTAGTTTGAGTAGAATGAATTTATATCTGTATCTCAATTTATACTTAAATAAGCCCGCCTACTCTTGTTCTAAAGAAAAACAATGTACAGTAGGTTACTTTACCATATTTCCTGATGTGTTTTATTCTTCTGGAAATGTGAACTCTGAACTCTTAATTTTCTATGGAAAAATTAATGAAATAGGCTGGTGTAAATAGCATGATTCTTAAGCCTATTGTAGAAGAATTCTTCATATAGTTCACTTTTGTGTATTAATGTTTTAATGAGAAACGATTATTTGTTGTTTTTATTTTTTAAAAATTCTTATTACTTATATTTATCCCAACAAAATTGGTTTTTCTTTTACAAATAATAGATTGACCCTTTTTGAGGTTGGGACTTTGAAGGTCATCTTTCTTACTTCAGATGCTTAAAGTTAATGATTTTAACCACTATCAATTGGCTAAAAACATAGTTTTTAGAGGTATGAGTTATACAAGAACAAAATCAGTTATTTATGCACCTTAATGAATGTCTATCACCATAATGGTAGTTTTTAAAATAAAGACAAAGGTACTGTTACTTTAATTTAAAGCCTGAAATTGTAAGTGTAAAGATATTTTGACCCAGTAAGTATTAAATAGGTGATATGTATGAGTATAGTTTAATATTTATTTTCTTATAAACTGCCTTGTTTTTAAGCAAAACTTTAGTATTATACTTAAGAACTTATAACTGTAAGCCAAGAAAAAAAAAACATTAACTTTAGAAAGTCTTTTGCTTTTGACATTGTTTAATTTTTTTTCCTTTTTGTTTTTTAGGTTTGCAATTTTTTTTGGTGATGGCATGTTCAGAATCTTGGATCCCTAAGTTGAATATGTTGGAAATATTTAGGAACCCTGGAAATTGTTGTTTTTGCATATATAATGACTCAGTAGGTAAATCAGTAGATATAATAAAAAGTATATAAAAGAATAGGTTTATAAGTCTGTATTTCTAAGTTGGCATGCATGTCTCAAATTCTCGGCTGTCAGTATTAATGTCGTACCCCAGAGACAGTTATCTTTTGAAGATCTGAGGATTTTTATGGGCCTCATATTTTCCCAGACAGTTGATATAATCCTCCCATGTCGATTTGGTCAGCTTCTTTTTTTTTCTACCTACTTTGCTAGTGTAGCTTACTTAGAGCAGAGATAATTACTTATGAGGAAGAGGGAAGAGAAAAAAATCATGAAGTGGAAATCCTAAAGGTAGTAATTATAAAATTTCAACCTGGAAGTGGCCTCAGAATGGTCTGTGTTTAGAATATGCAAATTATACCCAAATTATACCCAAATTGCTTATGGCAATTGCTGTCAATTTTTGAAATAGATACTGTTACGCAGCACAAGTGCTAATGAGGAGGGAAGAGAGCAGTTCATTTTCACCTCCCTCTCCTCCCTATTGTTGAGTGAATGAATTCCTGGATAGTAAAATGGCCAAAGGGCAGATAGTGTGAATGAAGAGGAGAAGGAACAAAACTTTAAGCCCAAGGATTATTTCCCCTTAAAAAAATTGAAAGTTGGCTGCATTCCATGTACCTCAACACACTTTTAAAACTAGGCTGCTTTCATGTAGACCCAGAACTTGAACTTGGGCATTCTTAGCCATAGGAATGGATGGAGACCTGTATCTCATGTGATACCATACAGTCTGTGGGTGACCGGAGTGCCATTGTCCATGGTTTTCTTTTTCTCTGCCCTATTCTTGCTGGAATTAAGAGATGTGAGGAACAATCTGGGGCAGATAGTTATTTTGATGGTCAAATGTGACTGCCTCTTTACTCTTTTGACCACAACTGGGGAAAGATTGATTTTTATGGCCATAACCAGAGCAAGTTGAAAAAGACTCAGAAGGAAAGGATGAGGAGAATTCAAGGAACTATAGAGACTGAGTGGTAGGTAGCTCAACAGAGTAGAATGTTAGTTAGTTTTATTGCTGTTAGTTTATCATTGTTAGATTATCCTATATTACTAATATCCTATATTAGTAATATAGAAATAGCTGTATAAAAGAAATTTTTTTAAAAATAACATTTCTGTTAAAAGGCTTTTAGAAACTAAATCAGCTACACCATAACTATCACCCTTCCCCTTTGCTTTGCTTTCCTTTAAAGGGAATCGGCTGACAGATATTTAATATATGGCACAATGAAAATGTTAGATTTTTTTAAAATCAAGTTATATTTTTATTTTAAATGTATATTGTCTATTTAGCTGCTTTTCCCTATTACAACTGGCTTTTTAAAAACTTTCCTTCTGTGATACTTTTGTCAATAGAGGTATTTCCTCTTAGCCAATTCTAGCCACAGTATTGACTGGGCCTGAGCATTTGATATGCCCAGAAGGAATTAGACAGGCAGGAAAAAACTTGGTCCCTCCTAGAATTAATATTTTAAAGACCTTCTTAGATTCTGAACACTGAGTACAAATGAATGAGACCCAAGAGAGGGAAAAATTTAAGAGCTTAAGAATAAAAAATGATGGTGGGGGATGGAGTGTGTACTCTTAAGTAACCTAAGAGAAGGGAATCGTTTTCCTGGAATTAGGAGGTAGTGTGCGGAACCCCGGGGACAGTGGGTATTGTGATCTTAGTTCGAGTAATTCACACTAGTGCGGTAGTATTTTAAGGATCGTGGCAGGTGATCTTGGGAAACACTGATGCATTTCCTGACAGTGGATTTGATTTCGTTCTGGTATGTTATAAGTGTACTGTGTGACTCAAAGATGAACTTAATTCAAAATAAATATCTTAGCTGTCAGAGAAAAAACTATAAAAATGAGTCTTTTGTCCGTTGTATAACTTTCGAAAATAATGTAGAATACTGAGTATATAGTACAGAATTAATAACATGAATTCAATTAGTAGTTCATGTATGCTTTCCAGAAACTTCTAAATAAAACCTTAAATTTGTTTAATGTTGGCCTCAGTTGTACTAAACAGTATTTTAGTACATGTCTCATGGGAAAATATGCATCTTCTTGGGTCACCACACTTAGTCTGTCATATCACTGTGAGAATTCAGAAATCTGACTCAATTTATCCAAGGATGAACGGGTCTTTGTAAGTTGGGTACAGTAAGTACGTATGAACGGGCACACAGAAAAAGTGAGCCTTGAAGAATGGTTCTTTGTATTTTGGAAGTTTTAGACCAAAATCCGAAGAAAGCTACGGATCCTTTCCCCAACCAGACTGCAACTTCTGAGGGGAAAGGGACAGCCCTTCATTGTCAGGCCAGGAAGCCCTGATCTAAATGATCATCTTCACGTCTGACCTGGCTCTGACTTTGTTGTCACTTTCCAATAGTGGTTCTCTATCACCTTTGAATAAAGCATCAGATCTTTACGGTCGCTTACTGCCTCACACGTTGAACATTAGCCATAAGTTTAGAGCTTTGTCATAATGGAACAAAAACACCCCGCCAAGCGCTTCCACCCAAGCGAAAGTGGTGAAAAGAGCCACGCCCTCCTCGGTGGTGCCACCTCCTGCTAATGCAGGGCGCCCGTTTCATGGTAATTTGATTGTTAATGTTTTGTTTTTAAAAGTGAGCGTGTTTCTTCTAAAATTTTTAATTATTATAAAAGGTTTTTACCTCTTTTTTCATGTCTTAGGATATCAAATCCGTGGTTTAAAATGTGTACTTGAAATTAACATAGTGACTTGAAATTTGGAATTTTGTTATTTTGTGATTCTGAAATTTGTAGCACATTTTCAGGAAAACTGTTGAGATTCCCGGGTAATTTGTTCTTTGTTTCTTTCAAGTTTCCTGAATGTATTATTATTTCTGAATTTTATTAGTCCATTTATAAGTTTAGAGAAAACTCTTCAGTTCATATGTTGACACAAAATGGATGAATTTGATTTATATTATTAGAAATGTGTTTTGACAAAAATTTCCATTTGAGTGGCTCTAATCTCCAGATTGGAATCTCAGATCACCTGCTTGTTATGTCATTCATTGGGACTTTTCTGCATAATACTGCTTCACTGAGAAGTCATCCTTGAAAAATAAAGATATCCGAAGAAACTTATTTTGGGACTGAGTAGAGAGATTGAAGAGCATCATCAACTTGACAACACAGAACACTCTGGAAACATCCTAGACTGTATTGCTTTTGTACTTGAAACACAATTTGACTGTCTTATGAATTGGACCTATAGATATAAAACAGCCTCATAAAATGTATCTTTAACATAAGAAGAACACAAGTCTAGCCTTTAAAACACTTCTGTCAGTGCAGTCTACTCCTGATTAATTACATTGGTGGAGGAGAACCTGATCATTCATCTTGTCTGAAAGTTAGACAGTCACGTATTCTGGGTTTGAAGGTGTTTTGTATTTCTTTTTGGAATGTAGTATTTGGGGCTTTTACAACGTGTGCCTCACAATTTCACGTTCCCTGGGAGAGGAGCTTGAGTTAATCCATGTCCCGATACTTGTTCTCTGTCCTCTTTTGTACTGTCGACTTAAATGTAGGGGAAATATCGAGTGTATAGGATTCCAAAACTGACTAGAATCCTGTTAGGTTTATCCTGCTTACCCTCCCCACGTAATTTTGTTGCATTTCCTTTCCACCTCTAATAAATGCTGCCCAATTTTAGTCCCTTTGTTAGGTCGAGATAGAATTGTAACCACACTGTCGAGGCTTCTTCCTCCTGTTGTCCTGTTTCATTCTGCCTTCGATGGGAGGTATTCAGTTGCCACTTGTGTCTTTTCATTTCCATGTTCCTTTCTGCATGTTCTTATGGGGAAATAAAATAGGTCTAGATTTAGAGATATTGGCTATCCAGCGTTTGCATATAAAAATTCATAGCACTGTATTTAAAATTTAGCTTTTTAGCTGTGGTGTTGACAGTAGTCTCCATTGGTCATCTGCTCAGTGCTGGACACTGCTGGATGTGGTTGTCTACTCTTCTTCTCCACCACCCTGTTCTCTTGAGGCCAGGAATGAACCTCTTCATGCATCAGGCAGGGGAAGAACCAGAACTGACTTCTATGTAAAATAAAGCTTGCTAGTTCTAGAGTCATGAGTTAATGAGATAATTAAAGAGATCCATGTGTTCCCCCTGGATGCTAGTAAAAACAAATCACGTGCAGAGGGAAGTGATCAAGTCAGTGAGATTTTGAAAGCAAGATTTGTCCAAAAAAAAAAAAAATCCAAATTTTAGGTTAACCTAGAGGAACCCACATTGACTATTCAGGTATGTCTTTGAAAAATAGCATACTCCTTTAAAAACATTACCAAATTACCTGACACATTCAAAATATGATATTCTAAAAAATTTTTTACACAGAATTTTTCAGAAGCACGTGCAAATATGTTTGTGTAAAAGTATGTACGATATATAATCACTTTCTGACTCTTGCTCTAATAAAAAACTTTTAAATGGTCTCATTGTTTAAGAGCTAATAGCTTGAAATTATTCTCAGTAAAATTTTACAGCATATGATACTATATTTTACTTTTCATGTTAATGTACACGTATCTTTAAAAGATGCTTAGAATTGTTTGTTTTCTACATGTAAAAATACTGTAAACAAGGTCCATGTCTCCAGTAAGAGTTTCTGAACTTTTGGCTGTAATTACTAGGTGATTGGGCTGAGGCCGGCTGGAAATGCATGTTGAGCTTTTCTATGTATGTGGCAAACTCTGTGCAAATAAAGTAGCTTTGTACTCTGAAGGAGATTTTAGTAATTAAATTTTTGTTCAATAAAATGTGTGCGAGTTAAAGTTAAGTACGTGCTGCGAGCTAAGGAAATGAACAAATGATCTATAAATGTGATGGTCTAAGTTAGTGGTTTGCAACCTTTTTCTATCCAAGTTAACAGTGGTAGTGAGTCGGTAGGAATGGAGTGAGGGCGAGATATGTAGTTTGAAGGAGAAAGAAAGACTCCCACCCTGGGATCAGTGGTGTGGGTCATTGTGTGCAAGCTGTGCCCCATGGACCTGAACCCGAGGTCAAAGAAGCCTGGTACTAGAAGTCTGTCCCCGCAATTTCTGAATGACCAGCAGAGGATAGGTGTCGATTTGAGGCAAACTAGGAAAAAGAAAAATAAGGACAGTCTTGAGACTTCAAATTGATTTCCATTTCAAAAATTATTCTTTACACTTCTATGTCCTTTCTACAACATGCCTTTATTTGGTAAAATAATAAGCTTGCCATCCCAAATTAGTTTTCTAAAGATATCTTTAAAACTTTTTATTGGTCTGTGAAATCAAAGGCTGGGAGTGCTGTTTCTTGGAACTGTGAACATTAGTATAAGGCCCCAGTTGTTTGTCCCACAATCCATAACTCACAGGACACTGATTAAGGTGCCAGAGAACAGTGTGGGAAAGTTTAGGTAATTAGCATGTCTGTATGATAGAAGTCATTGTCTTAAAAAAAAAAAAAAACTTACGGTAATAGTAAAAAGAACGGCTAAGTATTCTGTTTCAACCAGTGGTTGTCTGAAAATCTCTCAAAGACAGTTCCAATAGTTTTGTGCGAAAAAGAACTGACACCTCAGACAATTCAAAGGTCCACTACCACACAGATTTTAAGGAAATCATTTATACTGCCTTGCAGATAATTTTTCAATCTGTAAAATAGTCACCAACCTGCAAACAATTCTACACTGATGACCAGAAACAATGCAATTAGAACTGATTTTATTTCTGCTTATCTGTAACATTGAGTTTAAGATTGTATGCCATAGTCTTGTGTGACTACACTAGTTTTTATTAATTAGCTTTGAAGAACTGGACAAAAGCATCCTGGAGGAAGAGAAACTAAGGATGAATCCGTGCTGTATTTGGGCTGTTTGGTGATCACCTTTTAGCTTCCCAATGAAAGGGCATTTTTCAGAAAAATGTAAGCTAAATAATACCAGTTCTTATATCTCGTCACCTTTGTCTAGCCGCCATGCTAAGTAAGACAAAAAATGTGTCAAGGAGCGAATTTCTAGGAAATACGATTTCTTCCTTTGGCATCTTTAAGATGAAGGTTCTTCCTTCCTAAATGGGCGCTTGTAGGCAGGTTCAGAGGAAGTTGGTAATCTCAGAGGGTCATGGTGTACAGTTCTCCAAGGTACCTCTCTCTATCTCTGGGGATATTGCAAAATTCTTACTGAATTGCTCATTAGAGAAATCTTGCCACATTCTACAATAAGGGTTTTCCTTAGAGACTTTTTCTTCGGAGACCCAACTTTGAATTATTATACCCCCGGCTATGATTAGTGAGGCAGACACCTACTTTCTGTATTCACTGGGACTCAGAAGCAAGAATGAAATTACTAAATAGAATGAAATTGGTTGGAGGGATATTTTGGACTTGATTTGCTATATGCTGTGCATCCTTTCCCTCGGGTAGAAAACTATTAGCAAGGGCTTTTAAATTTCTCAAGAGTGGAAGGCATTACTTTCCATTAAATTTTTGGATTAAACGTTTTGAGCATTCTCCATTTTGTAGGAGAGAAGAGATTATATAAATTGATATAGATTGAAAACATTTCACCAAAAATATGACCAAAAATTGTGGTAGATTTTGAATTTTGTATTTTGAAGAGAGAGCATGCACGGTGATAAGCAGGGAATTTATTTTATTTTTCTCTCTAATATCTCATTCTCCAAACCAAGTTACAGTTTTAGTCAAATAATGAGTCAGAAGTTTTCTCTTAGGAATTAGGATCTTCAGTTTGTGGGTGGCTCTCAGTAGCCTCTCCAGGCTTCATTTTGATTTTAGAAAACCACATCACAGAATGAGTTATGCAATTTCAAATTTATGGAATCTTCTAGAAAATATTCACATCATTGTAGTTTTCCCACTTTCAGAAATGAGGAATGATTCTTAAATACTAAGCCCAATGAAGATAAAAGTGTGGTTCGTGGCTTGCTCAGTCTATGCCTCCACCAGTGCTT